TTTAATGTTAATTAGGTAAATTTAGTTGTTAATTTATGAATTGAAGGCTAATTGGGTAAAATTTTAAGTTAATTTTCTGAATTTGAATGTTAATTTATTTGAAAAATTAAATATTAACTGAATTAAATTGAATATTAATTTGATAAATTGAATATTAATGAATGAATATTAATTAATAAATTGAATATTAATTTTATGAATCAATTGTTATTTTTATGGTAAAAAAAATAGTACAATGATCTATTCTTCCTTTATAGGATCAATCACAGTTTTCCTGGTACAAACAAAACTTAAACTACTATATTGATCGATTGCTTTAGTATATGATTGATCCCAATGTTTTTGTTCAACAAATCCCAATGTTTTTGTTTAATAGACACCAATAATGTCAAATTAACATTATTAAATCAACATCAAATTAACATTTAATTTCATCATTTTAAAAATTCATTACATCAAATTAACATTAAATTGACTGTCAATTTGATCCAATAAACATTTAACAATCATGAATTTAACATCCCATTTCTTCCAATTGAGATCCAATTCATTAAATCAATACCAAATTAACCTTCGATTTAGTCGATTCATAATTCATCAATTTAACATTAAATTTTATCTAGCTGATATCCAATTTATTAATCAGCACTAAATTTATATTCGATATCATTTATTAAAAAGTCAATTTCATCAAATTAAAACCAAATTCACCAACAATTTTTATTATTAAAATTTATTTCATCAAATTAACATCAAATTGATCATCAATTTTATTAAATGAACATTAATATTCATGAATTTAATATTTAATTTCATCCAATTCTTCAAATTAACACCAAATAACTGTCTCTTTAATCAAATTAATATGCTTCTCTTAAATTTTATTTTAATTTCTAATACAATTAAGATGCTCGTTTTATTTCAAAAAAAAAGTCAATAAAATTGAATGTCAATTGAATGAAATTGCATGTTGCTTTAGTGTTTATTTGATGAATTGAATGTTTATTGGAAGATTATGAAAGTTATTTGATAAATTAAACGTTAATTGGATGAATTAAATATAAATTAGATGAATTAAATGTTAAATTAGTGTTAATTTGATAAACTAAATATTAATTAGATGAATTGAAAGTTACTTTGGTGTTAGTTTGATGTAGTAAATATTAATTGGTTGAAACTAAATATTAATATGATAACATCAACGGTCAATTTAGGGTTAATTTGGTGAAATGATTTGTAATAAATAAAATAGAATGCGAATTCGGTGTTAACTTGATGAAATTGGCTTTTGAATTGATAAAATCAAATGTTAATTTAGTGTTGAATTAATGAATTTGATCTCTATTGGATAAAATTAAATGTTCAAATCATGAATTTAATGATAATTTGATAAATTTGAAAGTTAATTTAATGAAATTAAATTTTGAATTGAAGAAATTGACTGTTAATTTCGCATTTGTTTGATGAATTGGATCTCAATCAAATAAAACTTAATGTTCATTTCAAAAAATTTAATTCTTTGTTAGTATCTCAGTTGCTAGTAAATTCTTTGTTAATTGGATGAATTCAATGTGAATTTGGTGAAATTGAATGTTTAGTTTGATGAAATGTAATACTTCAAATGTTAGTTTGATGAAATTAGATATCAATTTTGTATTAAATTGATGAAATTAAATTTTAGAAAATGAAATTGATGGCCAATTCATTTAATTTGATCATATTAAAATTTTGAATTGATGAATTTTAATAATAGTTTGGTAAAATTGAAAGTAACTTTTATATCAATTCGATGAAATTAAATGTATAAACGCAATAGAATGTCAAATTGATAAAATTAAATATTAATAAGCTAAACAAATGGTCAATTTCATTTTAATTCGATGAAATTAAATTTTTGATTGATGACTTTGAATCTTGACAGGCTGAAATTAAAGGTAAATTTAGTGTTAATTTCATGAAATAAAATTTTAAATTAATGAAATTCAATGTTAATAATCTTAAATGAATTGTTAATTTGATGAAACTAAATATAAATTTGGATGTAATGTTAATTAAATGAAATTTATTTGTTAATTTTATGAATTGAATGTAAATTTGATGAATTTAGATATTAATTTTATAAATTAAATATTAATTAGACAAAATTTAATATTTTTTTAAAAATTGATTGTTATATTTGTGTTAATGTGATGAATTGAATATTAATTGGATTGTTGTTAGTTTAATGAATTTAATGTCAACTAATTGAATTTTAATGTTAATTTGATGAATTGAATATGAATTTTTTGTTAATATAATGAATTGAATGCTAACTAAATAAAATTTAATGTTAATTTGAAGAATTTAAATTTTTTTCATTGTTAATTTGACAAAAGGAATATTATTTGGATGAATTGAATACTAATTGGATGATTTTGGATGTTAATTTAATTAATTAAATTTTAATTAAATATTATTAAATGTTATTTTAGTATTAATTTGTTGATTTAAATATTTATTGGTTATTTTGGATGTTAATTTGATGAATTGATTGTTAATTAGAGTTTAAATATAAATTTGATTAGTTGAATGTTAATTTGATGAATTGAATATTAATCTGTTGAAACTAAATTTTAATTTAATAAATTTGATGTTAAAAAATTGAATTTGAATGTTAATTTTTTTAATTAAATTTTTTTTGGTAATAAATTATTAATTAAATGTAATTGAATATTAATTCAATAAATTGAATGTTGATTGAATAAAATTGAATATTAATTGGATGAACTACGTGCTAATTAGATGAATTTGTAAGTTAATTTTATGTCAATTTGATGAATTAAATATTTGTTAAATGAAATTGCATGATATTTTGGTGTTGACTTGATGAATTGAGTGTTAATTGGATGAATTTGAATATTACTTGAATGAATTGAATACTAATTTGATGAAATTAAATATTAATTTGATAAATTATAATGTTAATTGGATGAATTCAATGTTAATTTGAATGTTAATATGAACAACTGAATGTCAATTGGATAAAAAATACCATCATTTGGGATGATATTACAATGATGTGGGTGAATTTACCATAATTTAAAGTGAATTTACTATTATCAGGTAATGTTACTACCATTTTAGGGTACCTTAACCATGGTTAGGTATGATATTATGATAATTTTGGGTGACGTTCCTAGAATTTAGGATGAATTTACCAGCCCTTAGGGTAAAGACATCACAATTGATGTAGATTTTTCTTTAAGTTTATAATATTAGCCACATATGACATAACTTTACCCAATATAAGAGTAGAGAAAAGCGATGGTGCCCAAGACATTTGTTATTTATGGTTGTAATTTATTCAATGATGTTATAATTTTGTTTAAATTGTGGTAATTTTGCTCATTACTGTGCTAATTTTGCTCACTACTGTTATAAATTTTTCACTGATATTGTAATTTTGCTTACATTTTTTGTCCCAGTAAATTTTTTTGTCTCATTAAAATTTTCACTGATGGAGGTAAGTGTTAGTTAAAATCTTGCTGTCGTCATTTACTTAAAAAAATTCCTAAGATTAATCAATTGGGCTTAGCTGAGTTGATCACCTTCCCATTTTTTCACAATTGAAAGGTCAATAAGTCAATTAGCCTTGAATTCTGATGCCCCTATTTTTCATAGGTTTATTGCGCCCTATTTCGGCCATTCATTCGTGTGTGATTTCTTTTCGTTTACTATAAATGCCTTATCATGGAACCATGAATTTTATTTAGAGTGGAAACTTCAAATACAAAATATATTTTTTTTCTTCTAATTGATCATACTATATAATATATTTATATTTTATTATATCATATTTGATACAGGAAGTCCATTTAACATAAAAAAAGCAAAAAATAATATATATTATATATGTATAAAAAAATGACTAATTATCACGATTGTAAAAAAAAGGTTGAGCTAATTGTCATTTTTGTAATTAAAAAATATGAGTTATTCAAAAATAATTCATTAAATCTATTTGATAAACGACGTTCCAAACATTATTACTGAGATATTAGCATAGTAAAACTACAAAACTAAAAACTAAGAACAAAACATAGTAAAAAAATTAAAAATCGATTGACACATAATTTCTTGTAGAAATAAAAACAATTTCTTGTAGAAAAAATAAAAATCAAATGAAGGTCAATTGGAAGAAATTTTACTTACAAAAATTCATGAATAATAAAATTAAGGTCATCTGAAGAAAGTCTTAATACAATAAAAAAGGCTAAACAATTAAAATAAAATTACAAGGTGGGTATAAATAAAAAATATATGTATAATTTTTAGAATATATAAATATAGCTTCGTCCATGTGCATTATTCCAGGTAATAGTGCCAGATCTACTAATGTATATGCAAAGGTGGAGTTAGGATTTTTGTTTATCCCGGATTAATCTAAACATTCATACGACTAACAAAATATAAATGTAAACTAATAAACATAATCCACTAATGATCCAAAAATTTTGTTTTTAATGTTAGGCCAAAAATTTTTGTTTTTAATTGTGGCCCAAAAATTTTGTTTTTAATTGTGGTCCAAAAATTTTAATTTTTTAATATTGGGTCAAAAGTTTTTGTAATAGGTTTGAGTAGATTTTAATAAGTTTGTGTAGATAATATTGAGCTCAAATTTTTTTGTTTTAAATGGGTTAAATTTTTTAATTTTTTGGGTAAATAATGTGGACTTAATATAAATGAGGGGGACACACATAATATATAATATAAATATATAATACATATATCCTACTAATAATTTTTTTTTTTTTACTCTAGACTTCAGTCCACCGTAGTCCAATAATGACTACCTCCTTGTGTATGTGAAAAAATAACTAAAATTTTACTAGTTCTCACGTGGTTGTGCTTTATATGAGCAGGCTGCGATAGGTATTTTGGATGGTATTATTGATACAGCTCCTGAACCTCACCCTATCACGCCATTGATCAAAATACTGTAGTCTCATGGGAAACTTATTATGGTCGGTGAACCCGAGAAGCCAGTTGAGATGCATACCATTCCTGTGCTTCTTCGTAAGTATTCAACATTACTAATTTTAATTACAGACATATGCATCACCATCCCCACTATTCTTATAGTTAACATGGAATATGGAATGACAGGGCGAAAGATGATTGCTGGAAGTATGATTGGGGGTATGAAGGACACAGAAGAGATGCTTGAATTTGTAGTAAAACATATCATAAAATCAGATATCGAGCTTATTTTTATACAAGATGTGAACAAAGCAATGAAACGTCTTGTGGAAAACAAAATTCCATTCCGATTTGTTATCTACATAGGAAACACCCTCAAGCCGGCAGCGTAGTTTGATCCTTGTGATTCCTGTTCTGTGATTTCCTTTGGGAGTATGATTCCTGTGGTTGAATTAACATTTGAGTCCTTGTGTTTTTTTCTTCATGGTTGTCAAATTTGGCACTCATTTTGTTGTGAATGTCAAACAATAAAAATCAATAAGTGAATCAAGTTGGTTGTGGTTTAAATGTCAATAAAGTCAACGTATGTGGCTATTTTTGGACCCACATTGCATTCTGCGGTAATATATAATTTGCAGTTTGTTTTTGTAATATCCAATTTCTTGTGTATCTTATTTTGACTAATTTCATTACAATTTGGGCACTGTTCGTGTACGACCCAATGAGGAAATAAATAATCAAAACTTATTTGAAGGAGAAGAAATAATTGATATTTATTACAAAAACGTTATTTTATTGATTAAAAAATTCATTAGGACAATAAGGTTAAAAAAACGTGCATAAAAATCTGTTAAGGATAACACAAAATAAATAGGCCGGAAAGCTCGTCAAAACATGTCAGCAAAAAAGTTGACGATTCTTTGGAATGTAAAATATTTGAATTTCACTTGATATCTACAACAAATTCTTCGAGAAACCATAAAGATAATGAACTAATGTATATTGTCATATAATCCCCCAAAAAATCTTGGATGCTTGTGACGAACCATAGTGGTCTTGGCGATCGACTTTTATTTGATACATTTCAACCCTGGTATAATCTTACGAGCACGTGATGAGACCACAATTCCACCCATAAGAACACTTTGTCATGACCACCACCCCGGAAAACCAGCAGATCGTGGATTTTCTTATAGGTTTACTACATTGAAGCAAGATTTCTTATAGGTTTACTACATTGAAGCAAGATTGCATCCAGGAAATGAAGATTGATAATGTATTCCAACGTGATGCAATTTTGTGATGACAAGTAAATGAAATAAATAATATTGAAATTATTGGGATCTGAGCTATTAGACTCAAAGGGATGATACTGAGAATTGTTAGGGAGTTGGGGAATTAACACAGTAGAAATATAATGGTTCACCAGCTTGGGAGCTCGGCTAATCTACTCTGCAATGGAGATTCTTGTTCCTTCCTTCACTTTTTACTATACCAAAAGGTTTATAGAATGTAAGATGTGATACTAGGGTTTTGCCCCTCTGTTGGGGGCGTTATATAGTATTTATAGGGGTGACCCTTAATCTATGAGATCTGATCCGTGATCCTCGCCATCTATCCGAGGAATTCTTCTTGATTTTAGAAGAGTATCTTGGTTGGTTGAAGATTTTGTATCTTGAGTGTTACTTCAAACCACCTGTTGAGTTCTTTATAGTATTCAGTTGCTTCTTAATTGTTTCAGCTTATTATCTCGCTTGAGGGGAGCTCTAGCTCTAGTTTTCTGAGCTTTGCAAAGCTCTGACTTTCTGAGCTCAGTATACCTGACCTCTATGTTTGACCTCTGTTCCCCAGCTCCTAATCGAGAATCATTCTGAGTATCATTAGTTGCCCCCAGCTCTTGGCCGAGCTGGCTTGGGCAAGGGCTGAACTTAGGATGTAATAGTAATGGTTTCCCAATCAGCGACTTCAAAATTTACGCGGGAATATATATTTATTATTATTATTTTTTATTATTTTAAAGCGGTTGTCAGTAATCATTTCCTTCCTCGTTCCTTGTGCATGTTGCCCGTTTTGAGGCCCACAGTACCGTTAGCTTTAAATACCCCTGGATCACCGATTTGCTCCTCACTTTACAGATCCTTTTCGGCTTTCTTATCCTTTCACGACTTCATTTTTCCCATTCTGCCGCTGGTTTTAGGGTTTTCTCTGAGGGATGGTTTCCCCAATTTTGACTTAGAGGCTTAGCGTGATTTGGTTTCGAATCCCCTCCTCGAGCTTTAATCCGTCACCAATTCGGGGTTAGGTACATTTTTCCTTTCTTTCCCTGCTCCTTACCCTGAATCCCTCAAGTCTGAGGTGGTTTTGACATTTTTGGGCCTTTCGATTCTGCTACTCTAGAAGCTAAAGTATTCCCCTGTCTTGTCTTCCTCTCTTCTTGGACCTTTACTCTACAGTTAGGATTTTCGCCATTGATTTTCGGTGTCTTGCTTCTTGGGCTCTCAAAGAGTGTTTCTCCGAGGTCCCCCTTCTTTATAGGTCTTTTAAGCTTCCTTATTCTTGTCCAACTATGTCTGCTTTCTCTGAAGCCACGGGATCGTCTGTTTCACTAATGAAAGATGGGTCCGTTGAGGAAGATTCCGATCTGGGAGATGTGGGGTTAGAGATAGATGATTTTCTTGGGTGGATTCTGTCAATGTCGAGAGAGGCACTAAGGAGCCTCCTCATGCCTTGAAATCTCCCAGCAAAGGCAAAACCAAAGTAAGTGGTGTGGAGATTTTAGGCGATGCTGAGGGTGGTGTTGCTACCCCCAGGGCCTTCGAGCTCGTGGGGTGTAGTGACATCGTTCCTTCTTACACGAAGGTGTTGGCTGACCGCTTTGGATTTCCTCAAAGCCTCCAGTTCTGGAGTCCGAATATGTTTACCTTATACGATTCCTTTATCCCTAAAAAAGTGTGCTTCTTCCTGGCTGCTTTTGAGAACGGCCTCCGCTTTCCCCTGTATCCCTTCATCAAAAATATTTTGCAACATTTCAATGTTTGTCCTGCCCAGCTTTCTCCTAACTTTTGGGGGTACTGGTTGCTCTTCTTATCTTTTTTAAGAAACATAATTTGGGTGTCCCCACCATGTCTTTGCTCATGAAATTCTTCAATGTCAAATATCTCCCCACTGATGACTTTTTGTACATCTCTAAACGAGTGAAAGCCAAGATTCTTATCTCTGATCTCCCGAGCTCCCACAAATGTTGGAAAAAATTATTGTTCTTCATGTGGGGGAGGGAATGAGAGTTCAATCCTGCCGATGTGACGGACACTCTTTCTGTCCCTCGGGGGTGGTCTGCCCCTAACAACTTGGGTGAGCTTTTTTTTTATACAAGTTGGAATAAGTTCTAGCTTTTCCTTAGGCTGACCTTGTTTAGCTGGTTTCGTTTCTCAGGCATCCGACTAGACCTCAGTGTTGCAGACGAACAGGTCCTAAGGAACTTGGCAAACTGCAAATTGGAGAGATATTCAGAGCTAATTCAACCTCAAGTCCTTGTGAGGCTTGAGTTTAGTCCTCCTGAAGTGAGGGTAAAAAATTCATCTCCTCTTTCTGCCATTAGTGTTGAGGAATTAGCAGGTATTGCCCCTTTCACCTTTGCCCCTACCTTTTACCTCTTCTCCTTCTCCTTCCCCTTTTTTTTTTCTTTTTTTTTTTTTTTTGACGGTTCTTTCTCAATTTTTTCAAGTTCTTCCTTAATGGAGCTTACTGCGAAGGATTGTTCTGATAAATTATCTATGATGAGGAAGACTCGGGCTGAAAACAAACGTAAGGTTGAGGTCAGCCCAAGGGATGATCCAATTTTTGAAGTCAAATCCCAAAATTGGAATCGTCCTCTGTAACTTAAATGGGGCCCCAATCCTCTTTTGGCTTTCTGGAGGTTGCAAAGAGCTCCTTTCCTCGGAAGACGGGATTGCCCTCCTTTGGTAAGGTCCCTGACCTAAGCTAGGTCTCCACCCCTTCTTGCCCAATTATGGGGCCCCCTCAGAAGGCTCCTAAGATATGTAGGCATGAAAAAGGGGGGAATACAGAAGCAAGTTTGAGTTCTTTGATTGATAATGTAAAAAGAGCTGCAGAGGCCATTGCTTCCATTCTCCCCGAATCTGACATCCAACGAGCTTCCACCATGCCTCTTGGGAGCTCTATATCTACCGCTCTTTTCGCTGCTACCTCTATAAGTTTTATGTTTTATGTGCATACATATTTTGTTCATTTGCTCCTTCTCATCTGACATTTTCTCACTTTCATATTGCCCTCCATGTCAGCGGGCTGCTGAAGAGGATCCAAGTCATGGAAGGTTCAGTTAAAGCTTCCAAGGGTTTTGAACTCAAGGTTACCGAACTGTCCTTTGAGAACAGTGACCTCAAGGCCCAGGTGCAGGACTTGCAGAAGCAGATGGAGAAGCAGACCTCCTTAAATAGGAGTCTGGAAGATGTGAGGGAGAAGATTGCACGCGAGGGAAAGAGCTGCAAAGAGGAACTTAAGAAAACAAAGGAAGAGCTCAGGAAAACCTAAGGGGAACTTAAGCAGAAAATAGATGATTGGCTCAGAGCCAACCGCGAGTCTCTCGAAGCTTTAAGTTCCTTTCAAACTATGAAGAGAGAATATGACATCATTGTGGAGACGAGTGACGTCCTCCGGAATGAACTTGAGGTGGCAAGGGCAGTTGTCAAGGAAAAAAATTGCTTAATTGCCAAACTGGCTGATGATGTCACAACTCAGTGGACCTCAAGGCTGAAGAGATCTACCCTGAACTGGATTTCAATTTTGATCCCCCCGCTGAGGACAAGGCGGCTGACTCTGAGCTCAACAATGTTCCCCTTCCTGCTCTTGAGGTTGCTTCCTTCTCCGCCAACCTCGTCTCTGGGCACTGGCCCTGAGCTCATCTCCAGCAGAGGTCGAGATTCTTACCTTAACAACTCCTAGATTCCTCTTTCTTACCTACCCTAGGACCTATAATGATATCGACTACTGAGGTTCCATCCCCTTCTCCGGCGGAGGTTTCAGATTTTCCAACTACTTTTTCTGCCAAGCTCCCAGGCTCTCAATCTGCTCACGTTGCCAAAACTTCAACTTCTGAACTGCAGAACCTTTCCCCAAATCCACCTTCAGAGACTTAGGATTTTATTTTGAAATATGATCGAAAATTGTAACTATGAGCTCATTTTGAAAATGTAACTTCTCTGGTTTTGAGTTGTACAAGCTCTCACAACTTTCTGAACTGCAGTTATGGTACACTGACCCCTATGAGACTATGCCTTTGAATTTCATCTTTAGTTGTGCTCTAGCTGTGCGTTTTTACTTTCATCTTCCCTTGTCCCCTTGCTTTAAGGAGTGCTGAGCTCTTCTTGAAGCA